AAAAAAAAAAAAAAAAAAAAAAAACCATCAAAAAATCCCCAGTTTTTTCCTTAAAAATTTCCTTAAAAATAAAACAATGGTCTTTGAACCCATCCTTTGTTGCTCTGAAATTAATAGCAAGTTGACTTTATATTTGCTGGCAATAGTGGGAAATAATTATTACTCGTACTTCTTGTAATTGCTGAAGTAATCATTACTGTGATTTGTGACAGATTTCTCAGTAACTTGCTTCTGTTAGCTGCTTTCTGGAAATTCTATATCTGAATAAACAGTGAGACCACCAAATGTAATTCCAGATACGTGCATCGTTCAAAGAGACACATTTGGAAGGAAAAAGAAAATATGAGCTGATGTGTGATAAGACTTTCTTTCCTTTTGGAGGTCCAAGGCCAGGAATACAGCACAAATCACAAAGAAAGCAGAGGGCTCTGCACTCTGTTATTGGCAGAAAGATACAGTGGACTATGTTTGGAACAAGCTTACCCTCGTTATTCCAACAGCTGTAGATGGACAGGTTCATTTTGATCTATTTTTTATACTGTCTATCTCATTCAACTGTAGGCTTGCTTTCACTTCCACACTTTGTATTTTCAGTAGCAGTTGTGGTACCAAAGCATTTTTTTTCCCTACATCTTGCTTAGGCACAGTACACCATTTCTGAAAGGAAGATCCTTTTCTTGAGAAATTTTAAATGTTTTGCCAAGGCAGTGATATATGCACCAGTAATCTGTATTTCTGCTTTATTTCTTTTTTCTTTTTTCTTTTTTATTTTTGCCATAATTACAGAGCTCCCATTAGCCCTTTTTGTTAGTATTCCTCAAACGCAATTGTCTTCCTTTATTATTTATAGTCAGTAAGACCCATTTTTTAAATCACTTTGAACATATACCTAAATGATTATGGTGAGCTTGATGCTGCTCACATTTTTGTAATAGCTTTATGGTTGGTTTCCCGTTCTTAACTAATGGAAAATTTGAAACCACTAGAAAGCATCGAAACATTCAATTGGAAATGCAGCCACTTTTGGATTGTCATCTTTCCATTGACATCCACTGCCTACAGATACATCTCTGAACTGATTATCTTCTTTTCTTTTTCTTCTAGTTTTAACTTTTGTGAAAATGGATCTAGTTTCCTTTTCATTTTATTATTAACTCTGGGAATCAGCTAGGTTCTATGGTGAAGTCCTTATTGGTGAATTACCAGCTGCTGCTGCTGTTCCTAGAAACAAATGCTTCTCTGACATCCTTTCTCCATTTTTCACAAGTTAGAAAAAAAAAATTAATTAAAGGAACAGTGCAATGGAGCACTGTTCAGTATTCATGCTGCAGTCATTGCATCCATATACTGACTTGAATGTATTTGCTTTAATGGTTACTCATATGGTCAGGAAGAGCCAGGAAGGGCTTTTTCCATGAGCTGAGTTATTCAGTTCACTGAACAGGGTACTGATTGGTTTGAAGGCAAAAATATCATTTAATAGTGAGAATACAAAATATTTTTTCTTTGCTTGTTCCAGCTTAAATATTTAATTATAGAACTAGAGGGAATGGCCTCAAGTTTTGCCGGGAGAGGTTCAGGTTGGGTACTAGGATGAAAAAGTGAACAGGCACTGGAACAGGCTGACCAGGGATGTGGTAGAATCACCATCCCTGGAGATGCTCAAGAAATGTGCAGATGTGGTACTAAGGGATATGGTTTAGTGGAGAAATACTGGTGCTAGGTGGACAGTTGGACAGGATGATCTTGGAAGTTCTTTTCAGCGTTGGTGTTTCTATGATTCTACAGTTCTATGAATATGCAGCTGACATTCTGAAACTTTTCTTGAGCAAAGCAAGCTGTCTTCATCCTTCTGAAAAAGGACTGAGTATCAAAAAACTCTTTTCTCCATACAGTTTTCATAAGTGATGAAGTTATAGAGACAGATAATTTATGGATTCAAAATGGAGCCGATGATAGAGACTGCTCTCTAAAAAAGTGGAATGTGATTTCAAGAATACTCTCCATTCCATTTTATTTGGAGATATTTTTACTCCAGAGAGTCTACAGGAATTCAGAAGAATAGAGATTTGGTCTATGGGGAATTAGAAGAAATTTTAATTAAATAAATGTATACAAATTTTAGTTTTACCAAAATCTTTAGGATGAATCAAACTATGACCTTTATTATTATTATTTATTTATTTATTTATTTATTTAAATTAATTTAAGGCTTCAGCAACAATTCAATAAAAAATTAAAATGCATATTTAAGAAAAGCATTTCATTTTGAAGAAAATACGGTTATGCATATTACCAAGGACAAAAGTGCCTTTGCAATGTACTGTAATTGGTCTTCGCAAAATTTAAGCAACAGATAGGAGGCTAGCTTTACTTTCTCTCATTAACTGATGCTTTATTTTCGTTTGTTTCTTTATCTTTTTAGCAGGACTAAGTTGCAGTTATACATTCATTCTTGTTCATTCTTGATGGATGTTTCCTCTGGGAGCAATGCATCTATTCTAAGAATTTTAGTTTTAAGTAGGACTGCATCGCAGAGAGAGTACCTTGATTAAGATGAACTTTAATTAAGATAAATGATGGCTGCTTAGTCATCTGTTTGGCATGGTGAGACCTGTATCTTCAGACTAATGTTACAAGTAATGAAAATTTTTCATTTTCTTAGTGAAAGCACAAATTAGATTTTGGCAGGATTGTTGCCCACCTGTCCTGATAAGTGTATACCTGTTAGAAAGCAGTAGTAAGCAATTTCATTCTACAGATTTTTCTGTTTAACAAAGTTGTGTTTTCTTCCCAGTATCCTATAAGGATAGTTGTCAGCAGTGTCTATTCCAGGAATAATAATATTTAATCAAGGTTAAGCTTAATTGCTACTGATGCAAATAGACCTCACTTCTTAATTCATAAAAGAGTTGGGGTGGTGATTTTTGGTTTTGTAGAGAAGATGATCCATTCAGAAATCAAGATAAATTGATCAATGGAGAAAACTAAAGAATTTATATATTATTTAGGTGTGACACTTCTTTGTTAGCAGTATTGAGCACATCAGTGTGAATAACGACCCCTAGAGGTACAATTTTGGCTGTACGTCCATAGTTAAATTGGATCTTTTGCAATGAGGAGCAATGGAAAATAGCTAGAACCTTAATGTAAGGTTTAAAGTGAACCATTACCTTTCTGGGAATAATTTTAAATACCACTGTGTTACTTATTTTTACAACAAAGAATTCTCAAGGTTCCACTTGAAGAATAAATGCACGATGCAAATATGCCCCAGTGGATTTACGTCTGTGTTAAATAAAATTTTCATCCAAAATGTAAACTCCTTAGACTCACCAAAGCTATGGAGAAAGTTCTTTTTCTGGTCTCTGTATTTTTTAGCAGAGTTCTACCTTTCAACCTCCTCAAACCCTCAGGTTTCTTTAAGGATGTGTATATGCAAAATATGACTTCAAATGAGTCATGCAAAATAGGTTGCACCTCCCTACTAGAGGGATAATACATAATATGAAGGTGCCATTTTTGTAGGTTTTCTACCCTTCTCTGAGAACAGTACTTGTAGATACAAGAGTTTACATTGTAATACAGACACATCAATGAATCAGAGAATATCTTTTTTGCTACAAGCTTACAATGCAATCCTTACAGAGGAGGTCCACTATTCTCACCAGCAATTATTATGTTCCAATTGTATGATTAGAAAATCACTTAGTGTGGCTTGTCCAAATTCACCACATAAAGACCCTGTAATTGCACTATTCAAGGTTTCATTGTAGTAAATCAGTGAAATTGGTAAATGTCCTGCAAAAAACACAGCATGATCCAACTTAGTCCAGGGTTTGATTTAATAAAGAATTTGTTGAAAAGTAGATTATGGCATCAAATGTGTAAAATAAAGCTTTTTTTTTTCAGAAAGGCATGTTTCCTATTACTTCTAAGGATGTCATTATTTTTTCACTGTGCCAGTAATGAATAGCTATTGCAATGAAACAATGTTTTTTGCAAGTCTAAATGTTTATTGTTACAGTTGTCATACTAAATTTTAATGGTAATGTTTTCTTAATGTGAACACTTAGAGAAACAGTGACTGGGAGAGAAGGCATAATAGTGTTACTCATTTTAGGTTTTATTTTAACTACCATTTTTTCCCCCCTCAACTTTAATAGGTTTTGAAAGAATGAGAAGTTCTTAGATTTTATTTTGTAATACGTGTATGCTTGGCTAGGTAAGATTTTTCAAAGGATATTTTTGAACCGTGAGCTTGAGGTAGTTGAATAATTATTAATCATGTTACATAACTCTTGTAAAGTGCTCTCAATAATACGTTCTGAACTGTCAGAGGAAAAAAGTAGTCAAAGGAAAGTACTTTGTGATACAGTAACAAAAAAAAATCAGCCCATTTAATTGTGAAAATACTTAAAAAAATACTTATAATAATACTTAAATACTTAAATAAAAACCTGATCAGAAGCCATAATTTTATGAAAAATGCATATTTTGAGAAATTTTACAACTGCATAATTTATTATTTGGTTTCACTATATACCATTTACTGCTACTGTTTTGCTGAAAGTATTTTTGATGTCCAAACAGATGGGTAAAGGGAAGAAATCGTATCACTTGAAATATTAAAAGCATCATTATTTTGAGATATTAGTAGAGAAGTGGAAACCATATGTGAAAACTGTTCATTAATAAAAACATAATAATAATAAATGTGACCTATTTTCCTTATGAAATAGAATCAATATTTTCCATGGATGTTTTATTCATTTGGAATATTTGTTAAATATTTACACTCCAAGATTCATTTACAAAATGAGATCGTACTGCAGAAGGCTAAAAAGAAAAAAAAAAAAAAAAAAAAGAAAAAAGAAAAATAAAGTATAAATATTTATTAACCTTTGATTTTGGTAAATAAAAAGCAACAGACTACATAAAACTTGGCCAATGTTTATCTATTTTAGGTGAAAGAGGAAAACTATTTACAGATTTATGAATTGAAAGACAGAAGGGGAAATAGGGCAGTAACACTGCAACAAAGGCAGAGAGTTTCAGCAAAGGTGTAAGGCTGTGTGACATGGAATCAAAGAAGATATCCTGTGCTTTAAACAAACAAAACAAACAAAAAACCCACCTTTTTCTGCTTCTTAACCTTTAGTAAATATCTGTAGCTTTCACCTTTTCTTACAGGGGCTTTCTAATCTGTAGAGCAAAGTAGAATTAGGTATTTGACTGTAGCCTTAAGTACAAGTGTCACTATTGCAGGAGGTGAAGCTTAACCTCTTTGTAGTGAAGAATCTTCTAGAAGAGATGTTTAAGGAGAAGGTTCATGACTGCATTGTTGTGGGAATACAAGAAAAACTGTTCAGAGCAGAAGCTGTTGAGAAAGATAAACAGCATGAGAACCAAGGACACCTCTAGAAGAAGAAGGAACCTCTCACGGCTCTGATGGGATAAGCACCTGTGTGAACGGTTGAAGAGTGTTTTGTAGAACGCTCTATTGACATGTAAGGGTGGATGGGAAAGCTAGAAAAAGAAAACTTGTGAAGGTATGTAAGTGATGTGAGAACTTGTAATAAACTATTTGGATCATTCACATCTGAGTCCATGCTTCAGACGCTGCACATTGTAACTGGACAGTTAACATATATGCTTCATTCCAGCAGATTACAGAGCACTGTAGTGTAGTGTAGATTTTTTAATTTTACTTTTTTTTTTTTTTTTTCCCTAACGCTGTGTACCATCTTGCATTAGTGAAAGAATAGAGTAAAAACAAGTATTAACCGAAAATAGCTTAAATCTTAACTTAAATCTTTCAACTTGGGAACAGAATAATGAAAAATCACTTTATAAATTTAAAGTATCCTCAAGAGATAATGAAAATCTGTTGTTAATAAGCAGAAAAGAGGAGCATACTCATAGTGCTAAAAAACCCACCGCGAATGATTTATTAGCTCAGTTTTAAAGAAATAGAACAAATATAATAACATCAAAAGTTTTAAGGGTTGAAATAACATCCGCACACCTTCTCCGGGACTATAGCTGGGTTTTAGTCATATTTATTTTTTGTTTTCATCTCATAGTTTCTTAGTGCTTCCCTCCCATCCTGGGCGGTAGGAGCAGATTATTGTCCAGAGGATTGGCTGGAACTTCTTACTTCTGTGCAAGAAAATAAATAAATATTTTCCTTCACAAGGTACAGGTTATGTTTTTATGTGCAGAAGTGGTGTTCCCTTGTAATTTTTATCTCTTCTGTTTAACGTCTGCATTGCCCACTTTTTCTTTATGCTGGAATGTCCTGCTGCCTTCTTCCTCCCTCCAAAGTATCCATGTTTCAGTCAGCCAGTTTCTTTGTTCTGCCTGTATAAGCTCAGAGCAAATAGGGATTTACAATTTTTGTCTTTGATTCCCGAGGGGTTGATGAATGTTTTGTTTTTAGTTATTTTATTCTACTTTTTCTGAGTAAAACGCATGCACAAATAAGGGCATTGAATTCTGCTCTCATGAGGCATCCTTTTGTTTCCCAGTGTTCCTGTTGACCAAGATGGCATGTATTATTGATATTATTGTAGTAACTTCTTAAAAGTTTCTCGCACTTTCTGTGGTTATTGTACCTGCAGGACTGTAGCATCAGTTGGTAGAAGACGAGTTGTCAATGGATAGCTTTTATATTTTATCATACGTTATTTAGCGCAATTTATATGGGTAAAAATATATTTGTTCTCAAGGTATAAAGGAAAGCATTAGAAAGAATCTTACTGTTATCCTTCCTCATTCTTTTTCATTCTTTCTTTTTCATTTCTTTTTTTTTCTTTTTTTTTTTCTTTTTCAATAATGGAAATGTTATTTGAGGGCAAACTCCATGAGAACTCACCTGTATTTTCATTAGTGTCTACACAGTCAAGTGCTGGAAGGTATGTCTGGCTAATGCTTTCGCCAACTCTCATGAGCTCTGAGTGATGATCATTAAACCCCGGGCTACTTTCATTGATGTTCACAGCTTAGCAATGTTAATGAGGTTCAGTATGAACTGTCCTTTGGTTTAGAAATGTTGAGACCATGACAGACAATAAGAACTGTCTGACTGACTACTGATATGATTTTGTCACTGTTGTGATAGAACCTAATTTTCACTGTCTACTCCAAATTTATCCAATTATCTCAATGTGAGATAAAACAGCAGCTGGCATCTGTGGGTGCTCTGTTTCTCACAACTAGCCAGATACAATCAACTGAAAAAAACACCTATCACTGTCACACCACAGATTTAGCTATGGATCACAGATTTGTGTAAACAAGGCAGAAAAAGATGAGAGTAAATTAGTAAAGAAAGAATACTATTCTTTGTGGGGTTGTTAAAAACTCAACCAAGCAAAAAACAAACGAAAAAACCCAACATCAAATAAGTCATCTTATGTTGCCTTATTATCACCTGATGATTTCACTGTGAGATATTGCTTTCTGAATCTGTAATCAGTAGAAATCATGTTTTGATCTTGTGTCTTCACTGATCTGCTAGGTAGTTGTTCTGGCCCAGGTCACTTGTGTCTTGAGTTGACGTCTTGCTTTCAAGTTAATACAGTACCTGCTACTAAAATTGTTTGACCTCTATAAGATGCTCTGTGAGAAGACAGTTGAAGCAATGGAGGATATAGCCATAACTTTTGGGGAACATAAAGGAAATTATTCCTGATTGATGGGGCTGATAAAACAATATTGTGGTAACTGTTAGTAAATATTTATTTTTAATTAACTCTGGCAAATTAATGCATATAAGTAACACTTGAAAATACAAAAACTATGGTAAGGCATTAGCATCATCTTTTCATCAAAGGGAATTTTGAGTTTGAGAAAAAGGTATCAACAGGAAATCGTACACACTATTAACAAGGTACATAAAACATGGCTAAGGAATGAGACTTGTACTATAAAAAGCTTTAACCCTTTTAATTCAACAGTACTTCCTTTCTTGCAGAAGTGTCTATAAACACATTTATTTTTTCCCTAAATTTAGACTGGCAGCAAACATTTATGTGAATTACTAAGTCTGACATCTAATTAACACAGTCTTTACAGTCTTAATGAGCAGTGATAAATTTCTATATTTTCTTTGGCACATTTTAATTAGTTGTAATTACAAGCAGAATGACCTGAGAAGATTGTTGTCCCACGGATTCATCAGAATTTTGTAAAATTTATATCTGTAAAATCAAAATGAGTTTTTATGGAACTGAAAAAACAAAGGTTATTTGAACCATTGCATCTGTCATATAACATCCTTCTATAAAACTCAGGTAAACAAAACAGTGGACATAAATATTTGACTTTATTGCAGGTGATGCTTCATAAATTAAATTTACTGTCTTTTGCTTGCCTGAGGAATAATTATGAATTGAAATCTACTTCATCTGTTGCTCATGACTGAAACATTGGCAGCTGACATTCATATTTAGAGATATTATGAATTTAAAGATCAGTGTATGTGTTTGAAATATTTTTTATAAGGATTACAGCACTAAATAGTTGCTGAAGTGAAAGTCAAACAAACAAAAAAAATAACCTTAATTTAACATGAGTACAAAGCATTTCCTTACTAAAGTCATCCTGCAAAAGTAACAAAGAATAAAACTTCCTAACAGTTACGACTATTATTCCTTCACAGGCAGTTCTGTATAGTCTCTAGAGAGAGAGATGAAAGGATTGTCAATGAGATTAATGCAAACTTGCATACCTAACACAGCATATGAAAGTAACTGAAAGATTTGGCCATTAAAATAAATGTGTATTTCATAAAAACTGTAAAAATGAAACATGCTAACATTTTATAAAGCTCTCAGTCATGATCTTTGCTTTGATTAAATAGACAAGATTTCATAAAATGGGACTGCATGTAGCATTTCTCTCCTGTAAAGCTGATATTTCATCTCCTACATTAAAGGATGCTACAGGAGGGTATGCTGAGACAGGGCTGAAATCATTTTAGACTCAAAGCTGTAAAGTGCTACACTCTTAGGGAGCTGACGGGAAAACAAAATAGCAATATGAAGCTGCTGTTCTCTACGGTAGGAGGCATGTTGTCCTATTCACAAAAAGCGGCTCCGCCTGTAGTGTATCTCTGGTGTCTTTTTTTTTCGCCAAAACCTGACAGCTACTATACCACTGTGCAAAACTCTCTTTCCTGGGATTGCCAGTGAAAGCACTGAACATATTCCTAGGCACTGCATTAACAGAGAACTTCTAATTCCTCTGGTGTCTGCTGCTATTTCAGGTTGACTCAACAAAGCTTTTGAAAGCTGCTGCCAAAAATATACATATTTTTGGTAATGCTTCTTAGAAAGCTCTTTGTTTGAACTCATGTCTCTCATGTGGGGAACTTGCAAGTGGCAGGGCCAGAGTGGGAGCAGTAGGAACCACTCTGGCTGTTTTTCCAGTCTGACTCCCATTGACTGTAGCTAATGATGGTTTCAAATTTTTATTTGATCTAAGCTATGGTTTCAGTGAACCCAAGAATTATCACTGGACTAATGTGAGTTGAAATACATGACAGCAGAGTTCAACAAATGGTGACAGTAGAGACTAGAATCTGAAATAGTGATATTAAAACATTTCTAAAAGATACTATTAAAATAAAGATAGTAGTAAAATAAAGTTGTGTCACTGTCAAGCTCAAGTCTCTGTTGTAGTGCCTGCTTTTAATAAACAGTGTTAACTACCTTTGTTGTCTCCTTCATTTTCATTGTAATTTTTCTTTTATGAAAAATAAGTAAATTGCTCTTATTTGCTTTGCATAATGATTGATGACAGTATCTTGTTTAAATATTTTTTTTATTTTTCATTTTTTTCTGACACCATTGAGCTCTGCAAGCGAAGTGTTTAGTATTTGTTAATAACAGACACAAGAAAGAGCTCACTTGATGAGGAAGCTGCATTAGATCTCATGTGAAACTGCATGTTGGCTTCTTATGGAACATTCGCTGTTGCTTTATCAGGCTAGTTTTAAACAGTGCAAAGGGTAGAGTACATAAGCTTTCTTCAGAGCCCAGATAAGAACTGATCATTAGAATGTACTCTCTTTCACAGCCATCCTAAACGTTTTCTTTGCACATGGTTTGCGAATTCTCAGAAAATTAACTTCTGATACTGATATTTCAGTACAAGAAAGCATAAGTAATGTTTTAGAATATTTTATTCTGAAATTAGTT